AGCTAACGAAAATTGCGATCATGGACAGAGACGGGATGTGTTCTGGTGCTGGGCATGCCAGGAGAGCCTGCAGCGCACATTTTAAAAGGAAAAGAAACAGCGACCGACAATAAGACTAGCTGACACCCCCTTCACTGTGTTTTTTTCCTCCTTAAAAATAAAAAAGGCAACAGAACAGTAGCAAAACAAAGTTATTTGATTCCTAAAGTCAACAATAGCCATATTCAAATAGTCCTTTTCAAGGCAGGATAGTGCTCTAAGACTCCAGTATTTCTCCTGGTCTACATCAGAAGGATGCAACCTAGAACAGCAGCCGTTCATCTTCACGGCGCTCAGTCCATGAAAGGAAAGGCCATCACTAGGACCTATGTGGCACTTTCAACGTGACTTGATACCTCCTATCTGCTGCACAGTGAACAGCAGTGAATCTCACCCTTGGAGAATCATTCCCAATTGCCTCCACCATTACCTGCATTTGATTAAATTCCTCTTTTTCAGTTTGACACCAGAAGTTGTGCACAATCTGAAGCAAGGCAAATCAGACTGCAGACGTGAGACTGGACCGCAAATAAATTCTGGATCCCGTCACTGTCCCAGTAGCGTGACATCTTCCACATTATTGCGAGGGACTCCATACTCCTTACCACTTCCCCACTCTCTCAGGGCCAGTCTGTACTTGCCACTGCGGTCCTTGCCATGAAGGCAGCACGCAACACCTAGGAGACCTGGCAAAGACGAAGGCAGTGCATGGCCTCCTGATGAGAGAGCCTCTGTAAAATTACCCGTGGCTCTCAGTAAAAAATTAACTAAGAAGTCCTACTCTAATGATTCCAAGTGTATAGATAAAGAAAGGGTGAAAAGGCTTTTAAATGCATTCTAAAAGCAATATTTCATAAGCCTGATCAATGTATTTCCCTAGGCTGGAAACAAATGAGTTCTCCAATGAAGTTAAATTTAGCAAAGAACATGTCTACTTTTCTTACTATAGAAAACAGTGATGACAACTCCTTGGAGGGCATTTATATGAACTGCAATTCAAACCTAGGGCTCCATCACGCTCTCTGTGAAATCAGCGGAGGTCTGCGGTGTACTTCCTAAGAACAGGTTAAGGTTATTACTGCCAGACTACTTAGTGTGAACAAAAGTAGCTTTGCAATCATATAGTATTGTCCTTAATTTCCTAGATTTCACTGCTCAAATGGGCACATGGAAGTGATGCAACTATGAAGTAAAACTAATGAGAGCTTTGATCCCGCATCTTTTACTCAGTCAAGTAAGCAGAGCAAAGTTTTTTCAAGGAATCACCTGAATAAGGGCTACCACATAACATCCGAAATTCCCAGATTCGAGCAGAAATAGTACACATCAGTACTTAAGGCACAGTGGATTTCTTTGAGGCATTGTTTGATACTGCCCCCTTTTGCCAAACAGCAAGTCAACAGCCTAGACTTTACACAAAAACTTTTCATGTCATATATTTGTTTTCAGTAGAACATATTAATGCAGATGGTCTTATTTAACCCTAGCATGACTGCTCACATGATTATTAATCCTGGCTAAAAGAGAAATTCATTGTTCAAGCTGTAAAATCATGGAGTGACTGCTCTTCAAGAACGTACCCTCTCTTTAACTAGGAGCGACCATGTCTCAGCCCAAACCAAGCAGGACTCTTACAGCCGACTGCAAGGTAAGTTATATGAAAGCAAAGACTCTCAAGTCTGGGAGCATGTTCCCCTAGGCCAGTCATCTGTTTGGAGCAGGAAGGGCAATCATACCAGACCACCAGAGCCATTTTACTCAGGCACTTGTTTCATCTTACTACAAAGCAACTAAAATCCCATGGCACCACCTGTATCGGGTTTCTGTCGGTCTGTACGCATTCCTAGTGAGCCCATCTCCATGCCATCTTTCTGAGCCTGGCGCTGGGTCTATACGAACGGATCGGGGCCACCTTGTTAGAAGTCATTCCCCATGCAGACAGACCCTCATCCCCTGCACCTCCCTCCGACAGCCCTTTGTCTTCTGGGGCTGTTCTTTTCCACTCTCGGGAGTTTGCACATTTTCTCCTCCTCGGTTGCCCCAGCTCTTTGCGGGAAGGCAGGGAGGTCGCGGAGGGCAGCCACTGTCAATTCCAGCAGTCTAACAGGCTGGGGGGCACAAACAAAGCAAATACCTATATTCTGAAGGGCAGGAGCTTCCCCCCACCCCCACCCCCGCCTTGACTTCAGGATTAACATGTTCCTGACAGAGGAGGACAAAAACTTAATCTCTTTGAGGAAAGAAAGAAAAAGAGAGAGAGAAAAGAAAAAGAGAAACTGCCTCCCCCACGCCGAAAGCAGCAAAAGGCATAACATAAAATGCAAAGATTCCCTGCTGTAGCCTGCCTTACGCAGACTCTACGTATCATTCAGTCCAATTCGAAGGGAAAAGTTTTAGTCCAAAAGGGAGAAAAAATGGGGGAAGAAAACGAGTGATTCAAGTAGCTGTTAAAAACTCTATTTAAAAAGCCCAAGTAATCTGGTTAATTATCAGCAAGATTTTTCTTGCTCCCATTGCCTTCTCCTCTGCAGTTTACGACCAGAGCTTTTTCCCTTAGGTGCTTACAAATCACACATATAATCAAGACAGCACTTTTCCGTGTGAGTAGTTTGCTCCAGCTACTCTCACTCCTCCTTGCCTTCACTCACCCAGCACCTCTACTGATCTCAAACAGCGGTAAGGATCAAAGCCCACTACAACTTTTAGCTTAGTCGGTTTGTATTTTGTTCGCAGCGCAGCCAGCTTGGGGTCTTAGCCTACCACTGAACCCATCCAGAGGCAGAGATCTAACCTCTTGCCGCTCAGACTATAATTTAGGAAAAGAAGTATTTTCTGTAATGAGGGGGGAACATAGGCACAACAAAAGACGAAACTTCACTGTGATCCCAAACCAATATATCCACACATAAATAGTTCAAAAGGAAACAAAAAGCCAAAACCCAGGACCTGATGTCTCCCATGTTTGGAGACCTCTTTTAAGGGCAGGAAATAGTCTAAGAGTCTAAACTCAGCCAACAGTGAACCTTTACGACGCAGCTACTCCCCTATGCCCCCCCCCCTCGCTCCACCTAAAGCCCACGAACAGGCAGGTTCAGGACCAGCCTGGCAAACACACCTTTTGTTTGCTTCCTCTGAGGCGGAACAGCCCGTGTGTGTGCTCCTGGGCAGCACGCTGGGGCAGATGATGGTGTCGGAAAACACAGATCGCCAACTTTTGGTGTAGGTGTTGGAGCTGGATCGGCAAAGGTTGCCTCTGGGAATCCCGCCCCCCCCCGTAAGTTTCCAACAATACACGGAGCTAGGGAGCCGCACAAGGCTCTCTGCTTCCCTCTCCCTCTCCCCTTCGCTTTTGATCTTCATCAGGACGTGAGCTGAAATTTAATGGGCCACCCCTACCACAAAGACAAATTACCATCTGAAAAAAAAAACCATTAATAT